GGGGGGGTTCGGCCTTGCATCCGAGGACCCCCCTTCAAGTAATCCTGGAACCGCCCCTGGATCGGTAGTTTTGCTGAGGGGCACAATAGCGTCGCATCGTTAACAATAGGGACTTCAGCAACAGAAGAAGCAATTAAGAGCTGCAATAAAGATTGTCATTACTTTTGTTCGGAACGCTGTTGATCTCCCGCTGACTTTCTTCCGCTAAGAAAGTCCCTTGAACAAATGTAAAAATTGCCTTCTAGGCTTGCTCGGATCGCTGAAGATCTCCTGCTGACGATCTTCTGCTGACGACTACAGTAAAGAAGTCCCTTGAACTAATATGGAAATTACCTTATCATCCCACTCAGATCGCTCACGATCTCCCATTGACGGTCTTCCAGTGACCCTTGAACGAATATGGAAATTGCCTTTCTGTCTCGCTCCTTTCTGAATCGCTAGCGAATATGAAAATTGCCTTTTCGGTTTCCTCAAGATTACCTATCACTCACGCGTTTGTTTGAAGGTGGTTTAAATGACAAAACGTAGGCCTACACACTTTTCAAATGTGTTCATGGCGCAACTATGTGCCAGGAAATCAGTTGCGTTGTCGGACAGCTGCTGGTCAAGATTGTGTTGCCTGAGTGAAAAAAATTGTTGCAAAACGCAACAAAGCAACCGTTGATATGGAGCCCTGCCCCTCCCCCCGAACTAGTATGTTTGATTGTTGACAACAGTCAGCGGTCATCTTGGTCGCAATGCACGGCGGAGAGAGACCGTAATACACCGTTCGGCTGCCGTGGTGAGGGCTACCTGTGCGCCGTGCATACCGATCTGCGTTCGTAGTGGCCTCCCTGCACGGCGGAGAGAGGCCGCACCCCGCACACGGTGAGCAGTTGGCGCGCGCCACTTGCGCTGCGCACGATGCTCGCGCTCCTCAGCTCCCCGCAAACGATGCGCTCTTTGCTCAGCAGAGGTGCCTCCGGGCCTGCCCCTATAGGACGCACCGCGAACTGTGGGATCATGTGATTAAGGACACATTACATATTTATTTATTTTTCTGAAAGTAATGGCAAATGGTGACCACGTTAATCAACTATCAGTCAGAACACCGACAGGATGAGCCCGCGGTCGTCCTACAAAATTTGTTCTGGGGTATGATACTCCGAAATGCGATCTGACACACACCTTGAAAACGGGTAGTGTGGTCTGATATACCAGTTAATTCAGGATCCTTATGTGCCGAGTCTGGTAGTTGGGTAGGCCTGATGTAGGCCTATAAACGATAACAGAGAGAATGGTTGTGTCCACAAGCGTTTCCTCTTTTTTCTTTTCGCTGGATCGAAAATTGCTTGGTTTAAACAATAACTGTTACTACTAACAAAAAGTCCGAAGTATCTCATTATCGAACAAATTATATACGTAAAAGTGTTCTTTTGACATTTTCTGCATCTTAATAATGCTGTTAGTTGATGTATAAGAATGATGCTAAACCTTTTATCGTGTATTGTGTAATGAAGGACCAAAAATGGAAATAAACTGATAGATCTATCATTACAGTTTGTCAAATTCAGTCCTTCACCATTTACATTTTCAGAAACTCAGAATGGAGGAAATTGGACATTTTGTTAATGCTTTTCCCCATCTCAACAATTTTTGTTGATCGTATAAAACGGAAGTAAATGGGTTTTTGTGTATTACTTAAAAAGTGTTGAAAAAGGAAATAAACTCAGTTCAGTTAAGTTACATGTACCTCTGGTTTACATTTTTGCATTTCTAGGTGTGACTTTGAAGTTCCATGGGGCTGAAGGCCTTTGCTAGTCACATTTCTAAGTATCCATGTTACATGCAGTGCGTAAATAAAGATCGGTAGTGATAATGCTGTTAAGCATTATGTAAAATTGCAAAAAATTTGAAAAAAGAAAAACACGCAATTTTGGGCACTACCTCCATAGTGACCACTCAAGAAGTTGTAAAGAGATAAACCCTCGAGAAGTCTCTATTAATCTCACAGAGAAAACATGGTGGGATTACAGAAAGGTGTAGAGAGTGATTTCCAGCCTGGACGCAACCATTTTGGGAAATAAATCTCAAATCATGTGAGATAGGCCTACACCTCCATGGATCTAGAGACGATCGGTTATACAAAAATTAGTTTCACATCAAGAATGTATGAGAACAATTTCACAAACCCACCTTCAACGCAAAAATTTGCATCTGTAGAAGTCTCGTTTTTATTTTAAATTCTGCTTTTTGTTATGTAAGCGTGTAAGGGAAATTTACCTTCATCTAGGAATGACACATTCAAATCACAGCCGCGTGCACAAAAAAGTAGTAGGCCCACTTGCAATTTCCAGATGCCAGCCTCGTTTCTTTTTTTTTTTTTTTCACACACCATTGCTTATATAGGCCTACCAGGTAGAGAAAAGCTTGCACAGGAAAATTGGGGAAATGAAACTAAGTTATTGAACTTACTATGATTCTAACTAAATAAAATTTCATTAATACATATTTTTGTTTATATCTTTATCTATATTACATGAGGCCAAATTGAGAGTTTAAAGCCATAATATCTCTTCGTTTTGGCCAAAAAAAAAAAAAATGGATTTTCCTGGAGTAAACGGCAATTTTCCCGTACTTACCAATGGTCAACGACCCCATTCCTGCTTTCAAAGTTAGTCCAGGATTTTTTCCTAAACGTCTGGTTTTTTGTTACTTTTGTACTCATTGCAGTTCCTATTTTTGGCGATAATGTTTGCCAATGAAGTGGAAAATATTATTTGTCAAGATGAACTTATGTCCTTCTGTAATGAGGGTATTTTGGATACGTTTCGGAATATGTGACGGGTATCTTTCTATCCAATAGCTGATTGCCTCAAAGCCCAAATCATGAGGGATATTCGAGTACATGTTGGTAATATCGAAGGAGACTAGTATCGAATTTTCATTGATATTTTTGGCAAGTTGTTAAGGAAGTCCACCGTGTCCCTTATGTAGCTTTTACTGCTTTTTACTCTTTTGGTTAAGGGTTTTAATACAATGTCTAGAAAATTGCTTTAGTCTGTGAGTTTCGCATGCTGGCCCAGCTATTTTAAAATCATTCGTATCATTGACTTCTACGTAGGTGGATTTTGTTGTCTTGCATGCTTTGTTGATGCATTCGCTTTTATGTATTTTAGGGAGTCCACAGAAATTGCTCACTCTGTTTTCAAAATTTGTGAGATAGTCACAAAGACTTACATAAGACTTAAATAAAATTTTGTTCAGGGATGAAGTTACGCACCATACGCATTGCTATCTCACCTCAAAATAGAAGTGTTAAACTGACGATTTAGGTTAGAGTTGCCTATGTTTAATATTATGCATTGCAACAAGAAAAATAAAATGCCCATTTTAAAAATATTTTAAGGTTTTATTGTTGCTTTAAATCAGCACATAGTCAGATGCATTATTGGATAATTAGATGCAGGAAAAACCTCACTTTTGGTATTGGGATGATAATAATTTGTTACAATATCCTTAACACAGTGTTACATGTAATTTTACATATTTGTCATCCAAGCTACCAACAGTTTAACAAACACCAAATTCTGACCTCACCCATTATAAGTGTTCACCTTATGGGTGCTTTTGCAACTTTACACTGAATCTGAATACAAAGAGAATTTTTTAGTGTGTTTTTTTTATTCAATTTTCTCTACTTGTCTGTAATCGCATTTATTACATTGTCATGTTAAAATATACAAATATGTGACTTTTCTTTATTCAGAAAAAAATGAACAATTAGTTTTATCGCACAATTGATATACCGGGTAGATGCAGTTTTGCATTGAAATTTTGAATGTGACACTGTATCAAATCTGCAGTTTTTCAAGTTAAAAAAATTACAATTATATTATATTATGTCTTTATAGAGTCCTCACTGACATTACTGGGAAAGTTCGAGTTAAGGAAAACGAGGAAGTGACAGAAGACATGGGAACACTTCGTAAGATGTTTCCAAATTTTCTGTGGCTTTTGCGGGATGTCCATTTGAAGTTTGTACATCCTGTCACCAAAGAACAAATGACACCCACTGCATATGTAAAGGAAGTGGTGAGTATACAGACTTTTGATAATGAGTAGTCTTATCCAACCCTACATTCTAATCCTGAATGTGTACATTGGGTTTAAAGTTAATAGGAACTAAATATCTAAGAATTTGTCACAGGTCAAAAGCAAAAAATATTTGTCAAAATTGCTATGATTGTTCATTTTAAACTTAAACCTATGGGTATATTCCTGGTAAGTGATATATTTTTATAAATAACTCAATACCTGGTTAGTGGATATTTTTATAAATTATTCAATTTTCATATCTGTTACACTATTATTTAGCAATGTATTTGTCATATTTATGACAACAGGTTTTCAAAAAGGGCACACAGGAAACAGCTGAAACCAGCCAAGAGAAGATAGGGAGAGTCATACTGTCAGCTTTTGAACAGGTGGAGGCATTTGATCTCCCTTTTCCAGGAGATACAGATGTTTTGGAAGATATTGCAGCAAATGCTGATCGTATCAATCCCAAATTCAATGAAAAGATTGAAATATTGATTGGACTTATTCTGTCCAATCTAGAATGCAAGAGAGGGGTGGCTGAAAATTCCAAGATAACAGGTACAATAAACCTGCTGGTTAAATGGTGTTTTTGTTTCTTCTGTTATTGAAATGGAAGAAAAATGTGAAAAATTTACATTTATCAAAATTAAAATATCTGTATCTTTGTCAAGTTGGTTTCAGTAAAAAGATTATGTCAAAGAAAAAAGATCAAGGGTTGTTGAGGGGTCTTACCTCATGGTGTGGGCTTCAAAAGAGGGAAAAACTGCTCAGTAAAAGGGAGGGTGGTGATGGACTGGTCACCCAACTGGTTGCAGAAAGTGTTTGGTCAGCTAATATAACCTTTGTTTGCTGGTAATAAAAGAATAAAAATGTACTAATAAGTGGGGGATGGTCATTTGGTAGTATCCTGAGTATCACTTTTGTGGTGGTTGTAGTTCAACAGTGGTGTCTTAATTGGTTCCCTTTTAAAATCCCTCTTGGCATTCAGATGCTAGAGTTCTCACAAGTGTTGTGATGGTGTGAGCAATTCAGCAAAAGTGTAGCAAGAGGCTTTAATACTATGATGCTGGGGGGATGGTGACTCAGTCAATAGTGACAACAACACAGAAAAAATTGAATTAATTATATATATCATATAAATATTTATAATATCATATATATAAATAATTCAATATATTCCGTGTTTTAGTGACTATTGACTAAGACACACTTGCCAAAACAGCCCCGGTGCACAGGTTGACAGTCATTTTATTTTTTCTTTCAAATTGTGAACTACAGGTAGAGAATAGTGTTCTTTGTATAAATATACAGATTTGTTTATGTACTAAAAGATGCTGGAATTACCATGTATATAAAATATATGTCATAGGCAAGACTGAAATCCAGGTGGATTTAAAATCTGCTTAGAAATTTCACTCTCGCCTAGGCTGGTTTAATATCAACCTAGAAGAGATTGAAACCCAAAGTCACAGACAATTTTAGTTTATGAATAGATTAATCACATCCCTCATCAAGCCATTTTAGTTAAATAATCAATGGTTAAGAACATCTTTTATTAACTATCTTGCATATGGAGGAATACCAAACATTTAATTTCTATTTTTTACCTCACAGCTGTATGACAGTGGTGTAACTATGTGGACAAACATTTTGACAAATCTGTACTTTGAACATGACACTGAGGATGAAACAGTTTAAGGAAAATGGTTGTGATATTAGGTATTAATAAAATAACAGCTGAGTGTTGAGAGCTGAAGTACTACAGGTATAAGGAAAATGCCTGTTTTATAAATACTTGATCAGTTTGGTGTGGAAAATTCAGGTAAAACAGGCAAAAAAGTGCCTATATATTATTAATCCCTGGATTTAAGTAATTGTAATTGCACCAGCAAAAGAAGCCTTAAACTTTTCATTTGAGTCACCCACATTATTACACTTTCTAGGAGATCAGCTTGCTACAATGCTTCAGTTCTATGTGAAAGCTGTAAATGATCCAGACACAATACCTGCCATGAAGAGTGCCTGGAATGCAAGTACTGAGTTAAGACGCATTAAAATACTGCAAGATATGGTGTCCCAGTACAATACTCAAATGACGGTAGGTAAAATATGTTCATGTCTGGTAAATTTGAATGGGTGTGTTTTTTTTAGGGGGGGGGGCAATTTTGTATCAAAACTGCATATAGTGCAACGGTTGCTGTTGGTGACCGTTATATGTATCTTGTACCATTTGAACGTGTGTGTGTGTGTGTGTGTGTGTGTGTGTGTGTGTGTGTGTGTTTCTGCAGGTTGCTGACAAGTAAAACGGCAATTTCTGCGTCTCAATGTTCGTAAGGCGTCTGGGCCGGATGGAATTTCACCTCGTGTTCTCCCCCCTGGCAAGTAAAACGCCAATTTCTGCGTCTCAATGTTCGTAAGGCGTCTGGGCCGGATGGAATTTCACCTCGTGTTCTCAAACTCTGTGCTGACCAACTTGCGTACGTCTTTACTGTCATTTACAATTGGTCTCTACAAATCCGCAAAGTACCATTGCTCTGGAAGACGGCGTCTATCATCCCGGTACCTAAATCCAACCGAGTTACCAGCTTAAACGATCTTAGACCAGTGGCTCTGACTCCGGTGCCCATGAAAATTTTAGAAAAATTAGTTTTAAATTTTATTAAAGAAATTGTGCCGAAAACCTTGGACCCACTGCAGTTCGCTTATCGATCTAACAGAAATGTTGAAGATGCAATTAATCTGTGCCTACACAATGTCCTACAACACTTAGATAACAAAAATTCTTATGCAAGGATTTTATTTATGGACTACAGTTCAGCTTTTAACACAATTGTGCCAAAAAAACTATATCTGAAACTTTTAAACCATCTTAAGCTACCTGTTTTTATTTGTGACTGGATTTTAGACTTTCTTTTAGATAGAAGACAATCTGTTAAAGTCGGCTCTTTTAGCTCAAAAACAACAGTCTTAAATACCGGTGCACCACAGGGATGCGTCCTTTCACCTTGTCTTTACTCCCTTTTTACCTATGATTGTACTAGTGTAAGCGACGGGACTTTTCTCATGAAATTTGCGGATGATACTACGCTTGTGGGGCTAGTTACTGATAACGACGAGAGTACATAAAGAGAATCTGTTGAGTCGGTGTTAAGCTGGTGCGAGAGCAATGATCTTATCTTGAACGTAGCTAAAACCAAAGAAATGATAGTGGATTTTAGAATTAATCAGAATGTAAAGGTACCACTCACCATTGGTAATGTTGAAGTTAGTATAGTAGAGGAATTTAAACTACTTGGTATACACCTTAACAGTAAATTGAATTGGAAAGATAACACCGCAAAGAGTGTAAAGAAGGCACAGCAAAGACTGTATTTTTTAAGATCATTGAGAACTTTTACTGATAGCGTGCCTATTTTAGTCAATTTTTACAGGTGTGTAATTGAAAGCATTCTAGCGTACGGAATTATAATATGGTATAGCGGAACAGCTGGGGAGGAAAGGAAGAAATTAACAAACGTTGTAAAAACTGCAAGCAGGATTATTGGGCACGATCTCCCCAAGCTGGATGATATTTTTAAAGACAGGATGGAGAAAAGAATTGTTAACACCATGAAAGACTCTTTCCATCCTGCAACATCTCTTTTTACTTTCTTACCAAGCAACAGTAGACCTTTAACTTTTAAAGGCAGTAAACGCTTTTTAAACAGCTTTTATCCAAGTGCAGTGACGCATTTTAATTTGATCTCAAAACTAAATTCTTAATTTATTTATTTATTGTACTATTTTATTATTTTACTCTGTATATTGCTCCAAAAGGAAAATGATTTCCGATTTTTATAATTGGCTAAATAAAGTCTTATCTTATCTTATCTTATTTTATGCTTTTAATTCACCTGCACTTTGCATTTGTCATGCTCCTCTGAATAACAGTATTTTTTTTTAATTTCTGACTGACCATAAGTTGCTATATGCTCTGCATAATCAGTTAAACAATTCAGTTTTAGATCTACATAAGCTGGATATTCTATGGCCTCAAAAACCATCAATAGCTCCATTAATGTGGAGGTGATGTGTCCTGTGCCAGTTAATTGTACCCTTTCTTTTGACTTGCTTAACTGGCGTGGCAGAGTTACATTTAGGTAGAACAAGGAAAAAAAAGTGCTGTTTATTATTGGTTCCTTTATAATGATCTGGCACATGCAGGCAATACACACCATCAAATTTGTTATCTATTCCATGTGTTTTTAAGGATGTATGATGTAATTTTTTTCTTGTCCTAGATTTTTTATTTCATATAAATCTAAAAGAAAAACCATATTTACTGTATGTAAATATACGTAACTGTAATAAAAATCCAAGTTACAGCACATTTAACTTACTTATACTAAGTCCTAGAATGGTCTTGACAGCATTAATTGTAAAACCTCACATTTACACAAAGACAAAGCTAGGTGACAATTAATCGCTTAAACACTACTTTTTTATTTTTCAATAATTCAACAATTTGAGCAGTGCCCAAAGAAAAGATTATGGTGCGTTATTTATCTTCATGATCAGTTAAAACAAACTTAAAACAGATAGATAGATAAATAAATAAATGAAAAGAGTGTGTAATCTTCATACCGTAATCACTGTTAAAGGAAGAAGTGCAGTATATAGACATTTTTTCAAATTATCATAATACCGAGCTGCACACCAAACCTGTTGTGAAAGATTGACCATGTTCCAAGTTAAAAAGCAGACCAATTGAAATTTTTGTTTCCTTATTTTTCCACATAAAATTTGCCCCTTTTGGGTCTCAAGAAGGTGGTGCATTTTTTAAAGAAATTGTATTCCATAAAAGTTTTAAAACCAAAAATTGTGTTTTGGGTGTTGCATTTTAAACCAAATAAAGCCAAACAAATGTACCAGTATGCTGTGGGGGAGTGTCAGTACTAGGAGGTAAAGATAGGAGGATTTTGTAGGGGTGGATCCAGAATTATTTAAAGGGGGGTCCACTGATGTGAAGCCCCCCCCAGCATGGGGTTCGGGGGGTCAGGACGCCCTTGACCCCCCCACCCCCCACCACCCCACCCCTTAATCCACCACTGTTATATGGATATGGGGTAAAAATGCTTTGTATGAGACTATAGACTTTTGTCAGTATTGTTGAATATGGGGCAGTTATTGCACATGTTAGTATATGAGTTACACAAAGAGGGAACTTCAATCTCCATGATTTCATGAGGCGTTCGTGTATTAATTCCTTCAAACAGTGTAGACTAGGGCTATATTCAGAGTCACACATTGTACTAACTGGGTTGCTAACACATTAATTTTGTACTATATATGAGACAACTTACAGTGAGACAAGACTGAATGTTGCAGATCCCACGCCAACAAACACAAACCACAGGTCACACGTTTATTCAACACTGACAGGATGAGCCCGCGGTCGTCCTACAAAATTTGTTCTGGGGTATGATACTCCGAAATGCGATCTGACACACACCTTGAAAATGGGTAGTGTGGTCTGATATACCAGTTAATTCAGGATCCTTACGTGCCAAGTCTGGTAGTTGGGTAGGCCTGTATATGGTTATGTGTTTTGTAAATAGATGCTTCCAACAAAGGGAACAGGCCCTCTCTTACTACATTGTACTCTTTCCAGTATATGTATTCAAATCCATCACCTATAGATAATCATTATACATTTTATATATATCTTTTTTTTTATAAACTGATTTATGTATTGTTCTACATGTAAACATTGAAGTCATGTATATTTATTCATTTACTTGTTTGTACTGTTATAGTTAGATCTACTTTCTCTGATTGTACCTTACTTGTGAAGGTGTATCAATAAAGAATCTGTTTGTACAGAGGTTTTCACACATGGGGACTTGCACATACATTAAAATTTAAGACTGGGTTCCCATACCTATATCGATCTAACAGGATTGATCCATCTCTGAGGGGTTTCTCAGTAAATTGCTTTCAGCTTAAGCAGCTTAGGCTGTATTTCCAGAGCTTTTAGATCGATCTATCCCCGCGGGGAGTCTCACTAGATTACTGTCAGATAATCCGGCTTAAATGTCCGTCCTGCCTTCTACAAGCTGTAAGGGGGTAATTAACTTTCGTGTCCGCTCGGCTGACAGCTATTTAGCGTGAACCACCAGGGAGTTAGGTCGATCTAAAGTAGATCGATCTAATCTCTGGAAATGGGGTCTTAGATGTCTGGCAAGCCAATGAAGCTGTAAATGATAATTATTACCCTCTATAGCAACTTCAGTAGGCATGACAGACATCTAAGCCGCTCATGTTGATTGCAATTTAGTGGGAATACCTTGGAGAAAGATCAATCCACAGTTAGTACAATAGGGTCTGGGAATAGTCCCTATAAGTGCAGTTTTAGAGAGTGTTCAGATAAATCTAGTATCACACGGCATGTAGCTGGATTGATCCATATACTGAGTATTTTAAATGTAACATGGGCACTCTACAAGGATGCATGTTTTAAGTCCTTTTCTATTTACATTATTCATAAATGAATTCTATCATAGTTTGAACAAGGCTGGATGTCAGGGTATTTACATAAAAGAGATGTTTCCAAATCTCATGTCTTTGCTTTATGCTGGTGACATTGTATGCATTTCAGACACTGTTGGGGGGTTACAGAAACAAATCCATCAATTAGAAAAATATTGCAGCCAGAATGGTATGCTAGTAAATGTCCAAAAGACAATAGTAGTATTTAGGAGAGGTGGCAAAATAAAGAAAAATGAAAGGTGGTTTTTCAAGGGCAAAAAATTAGAAGCGGTACATGTACCTGCATATAAATACTTAGGAACATATTTTGGTGCCTTCCTCGGTTGGGGTAAAACTATCCAACACCAAATAAACCAAGCCAATAAAGCATTATTTGTTGTTAAGTTATGTTTGAAGAAACAAGCATGTATTTCCTTTAAGGAAGCTTTCTTTCTTTTTGATAGAATGATAACAGCCATTCTTTTCTATGGTGCTGAGATATGGGGTTATAAACCAGTAGAAAGTATTGAAATCTTCAAAGCAAAATTTTGTAGATATTTATTAGGTGTTAGTTCAAATACTGTGACGGAAGCTGTACTAGGCAAATGCGGAAGATATCCATTGTATACCAATTATATGGTAAATAGCATTAAATATTGGTTAAAGCTTGTACATATGAATGAAGATCGCTATCCTGCTCATGTATATGATATGCTATTTAAATACCCCGGTGAAGTTGATTCCTGGTTCCTTATTCCTTATTCGGTTACTTATTCAACTTTTTTATGTTGTTTTATGATTTTGATGCTAGAATANCAGGGGTTATTTAAATTAGATTCAAGTGGAAGGCACACTTGGGCCACAGATGTTAAAACGCTGTTATACAGATATGGATTTGGATATGTCTGGGAGGCTCAGGGTGTGGGAAATTCTGTTTTATTTATTAAAGTTTTCAGAGAAAGATTAGTAGATAATGCTGGCCAAATATGGCACAGTGACATATGTAGGAGCAGCAAACTGGATACTAAGGCTGTATTCCCAGAGCTTTTAGATCAATCTATCCCCGCGGGGAGTCTCACTAGATTACTGTCAGATAATCTGACTTAAATGTCCGTCCCGCCTACTACAAGCTGTAAGGGGGTAATTAACTTTCGTGTCCGCTCGACTGACAGCTATTAAGCGTGAACCCCCAGGGAGTTAGGTCGATCTAAAGTAGATCGATCTAATCTCTGGAAATGGGGTCTTATTCATTATTTAAGAGTATGTTAACACTGGAGTGTTACTTATTAAGCATTAAAAATGTAAAACACAGAACCTCACTAGCAAGATTCAGATGCGCAAATCACCAACTAAATATTGAGAGCAGTAGATGGAGAGGTATAGAATGATGCAATAGACTCTGTTTAATCTGTAAAAAACACAATATTTATGATGTTGAAGACGAATACCATTTTTTAATGATGTGTGTAGCATATACAGAATTAAGAGAAAAATAAATGCAAGTGAATAACCCTACTAAAGAAAGTTTTTTAAGATTAATGACCACAAAAAACACAAATTTTATCTCTAGTCTAACTGCTTAAATATTTAATGCTTTTATATTAAGAAAAGAAATTTTGGTTCATTGACAAAAATGAATAATCCTTAATACTTCTAATCGACTTTACTATTATTATTATTATTTTTATTATTGTTATTACTATTATGTACTATGGGCCGGAGGCCTTGAAAAACTGAATAAATTATTATTATTTGGATTGATCCATCTCTGTGGGAGTTTCTCCATAAGTGCAATCACTGTAATTGGGTTAAATGTCTGACATTGCCTCCTCTAGTTCTAGGGGATAATTAACTAATATAACAAACCTGCTGCTCAAGGGGGTATGTCAGACAATAAAGCTGATAACACTGAATGCATTTTAGTGAGAATCTCCCATTGAGATCCAGCTGGTACAATGTTTAAATCTGAATGAGGGCTTATCCTTTTAAACTTTGAAATATACTGTGCGCATGGATTATAGTCATATTATTTTTCATTTAGGAAGCTATCACCAAGGTCTGCCTCAAAGGATCAGAGATGATACCTATAGAAGAAAGACATTGTGATGATGCTGAAAAGTAAGATTTTTATATGGAGTAAGACAAAATAAAGAAACAAAGAAAGATAGAAAGATTCAAGAAAGAAATTTCAAAACAAAATACAATGTACATGCATATATAAATCAGTATTTTTTTCACATAACTACATGTAATACCTCTCTGACTTTAAGTTTGCCAAAAGAGAAAAACATGATGATGACAGAAAACTATATATAGTACGATGAAAGTCAAGGGGGGGAAATAATTTAACTTAAAGTAATTGATTTTCAAACTGGCAATATCAATTGTTGAATGCCATCATGTAAATAAGATAGTCACTGATTTTACCCTAAAAAACAAACAAAAAAAAAAAAAGGGCTTATTCCCAACAGATTAACACACCTCCTCCTGGCATCAAGTAGAATACAGACAAACAGAAAGCTGTTAAAATACAGAGACAAAAACAAATAATGATGGACAAAATAGGTTATTATTTTGTCAGTTTTGATGCAATTTTACATGATGATTAACAGCAAATTCAAAATCACATTTAAACAAAATATAGTCCCTTCAAGTTACATGGTAGCTTCAGATGTATGTATTAGTTGCGGAGAAATATAGGCTAGTAAATATGGGAAGTGCATTTGATTATGAAAAATAGGCCAGATGTCAAATTCAAGGTCTCATTAATATTACAGTAACCATAAGTGTATCTCTGCTAGTTTTGGTGAAATAAGGGATAGAAAATTTGCAAAATGTCTCCATATGGCTTTTTGTTAGGTTTCTCTGGGGCTATTCAAAAAGGAAGATATGTGAGTATCAACTGGTCCAAGGCTCAAGTATGGCAGACCCTACATAAAAGGAAGACCGGCTAATCCTGTAATGGTCTCTCTGCCTCTCACACGCCTCTCCATGCATCTGGTCGAAGCGAGCCAAGATTTAATTACTGTGCCCTGGCAGGGACGACGCATGGGGAGGCGTGTGAGAAGCAGTGATACCATTACAGGATTAAGTGGTCTTCCTTTCATGTAAGGTCTGCCATATTTGAGCCTCTGACTTGTTGATACTCTGATCTTTTATTCTAAATGGCCCCTCTGGTAACTTTCCCCATAATTCCTGAATATATGCTGAAGAAAAAAACGAAAAAAAAAAAAACATAACTTTTTGAAAAATTGTCAGGTCAAGCTGATATTCAAAATGAACCTTTACGCACTTTACTAATATTCATCAGTTCTGTACATCTGAAGACAAACGTTAAATGGTTGTCCACTTATCGTGTGATCTTTGAAAGTTCACAGCAACAATGATGCTGACAGGGGCATAAGACATGGGTATAATGTCTATATATACAGACACTATATATGTCTGTACATAAAAGAGCTGGTGATTTTACCAGTATGTGGGAAACAAGAGGAGGCATGTTTATCTGTTAATCTGATTGCATTCAGCAGAAATCCCAGAGTTTGATTGATCTATTTAGATTAGAACCGTTGTTTCATTGCATGAGCCAAAGCTTTAATTTACAATGATCTGAAATGTTTTCAAGATAAACACATGATACATTTTTTTAAATAAGTTAACCACCCCTCTGACTTCTGATGGAGATAAAATTATTTGAAAAATAGGTAATTAAAAAAACTGCCTTTTAACTCATTTTAAACATTTGTATCATTACTATTATGAAGGATAATGATAAAATGTTATCAAAATAATTGAGCGCATAGCAGAAAGACACTACCAGTAAGTGCTAGTTGGTGTGTTTCTCTGTCATCACCAAATTTTTTGTATTTAAAAGGATGTGTTGTAAGCAAAAGGGAAGATTGAATTGAAAAATAATTTTACAAGGGTTATTGTTCTTTGTAATTACATTTTTGCAATTATTACACCACAAACCGAAATATTATAAATGATTTCTTTGTTTTTAGACCAAGCTTAATGAGCATCCATGATGCTGTTATGGACAATGTTCGCAATGGGTTAAACAAACAGCTGGAGTTTTTTGGATTTGATGAAGAGGAACAGCATTTGAACAATTCACTTTTCCTTGATTTTAATGAAAGAATAGGTAAGGAGGAAAAAAGAGATTTAAGCATTAAGTTTTTAAGCTAATTAATTGTGAATCCACATTATAAAAAAATGGCCCACTGTACTAAAAAATAAAATTTGCAAATATTCAAGATATTTCATGTTGAATAATTATGAAATTGAAAGTGCTAAAGAGGTCAACCAATTTTATATTGATTCATTTTATTAGCAAATAACAATAATTACTATCATTTTGCAAATGTGCAGTGACAAGGAGAGTGGGTCAAAAAAATAAAAAAAAAAAAATCAAATTAAGCTCCAAGATGAATTTTCTCAGTGTCTAGAGCTTACATCTTATATATATGGTATGCATCTATACTCTCTCCTGGACTCTATATAACATTGAGTTTTAATAATAATGATAATTTATTGAGCACAAAGAAATGGTTTACATTTACAGGCTCTCTAACTAATACAAATTTAAAATAAAATAATAATTTAAGTAGTTAACTATGCTCATCCACGCAGGGATACACGCTTTTTAATTGCGCTGTTTACAAATTTACATATGGCAATCACACTCTGCCCAGAGAGTGGATTGAGTAAAATAGATAGTTTATTGTCTGTTGGACCCTGCAAATTCACCTCTGGTATGGAAGCAAACAGTATTTCCCATTCGACTCTGTGTTCACTGCACTCTAGAAAAAAGTGTCCTTTATCTTCTATTGAGTCACAGTGGGGGCATTTCCTTTTGTCAATTGGCTTCTTTGGTTTTTTATATCGCCCTCGTTCAATTTCTAATTCATGATCACTGATCCTCATTTTTGCTAATATTACTTTTTTTTTGAGCTAAAGGAACATTGAATTTTACATAAGGTTCAGCCTCATAAGTATGTTTAATTTTTCCATATGTTCTGAGTTTATTGTTTTCTCTCTTTTGCAATTCTTCCCAAAAATTTGCCTTTTTTTATTTCTTCCATTAGATATTGGTGGTTGTGGATTTTAGTATGTGTGTTGTTATTTGGGTGGTATACTTCCCAGCATGCCGAAAGATTTGTAGTAGCCCAAAACCAATTCTTTCCCTTTTCTGTTTGCTCCATGTGGTAAGCTTGTTTGACTAGTCTATGAGTTGGAAGGTTGTCCAGTCTTGCACTGTATTTGGACACCAAACTTACAATGTCCAAATACAGTGGAAGGCTCCCAAGTTCTGCCCTACAAGCATTATTGCTGGAAGTTTCCCTTATACCTAGTGTCTATTTACACATTTTTAAATGTATCTGTTGGAATGGCATTTTATTCAATTTGTGTAGTGTCATTTTTTGGTCTATGAATATCTCTTGTGCCATGCAAACTTCACAGCCATATAACAGGATTGGTTTTATCATTTGGTCAAAAAGTTTCATGGTTAGTAGGGGTGAAGAAATTTCTTGAGAATGTAGCATCCCTTTTAATGAAAATATAGCTTTGAGGGCCTTTTGTTTAAGGTTTTCCATTGTCTGTTTTAAGAATCCTGTGTTTGTAAAAACTATTCCCAAGTATGAGAACTGTTTAACTGTTTCTATAGGTCTGTTATTTATGGTAAAAGTACCGGTATGTGGGTCAATTTTTCCAAGCTTATTGAATACCATAACTTTAGATTTATTTTCATTTACCTTCAATTTCCATTTCAGACAGTAGTTTTCAAGTTTAGGGTGAATATATGATCTTTTGTACAATACACAGGTCTGAACCCAGCTTGTTCTTCACTTAGCTTTTGATTTGTTTCTATGAATTGAGTGATTCTATTTGTAAGTACAGAACCTAAACAGCTTGTTATGCATATACTATAGGCCTCTATGGTTTGATGGGTCAGTTCGATCTCCAGATTTATATAAGGGTAGTAATAGGCCTAAGTTCCAGGTATCCGGGGTTTCGCATGTATTTAGTGCTAAGTTAAAGATTTTTGTTAATTATTAGTCCTACAAGGTAATTTACTCCTGTTTTTAACATTTCAATAGAGTCTTCACCAGCTGCCTTGCACTTTTTTAGTTTTTTGATAGCGTTCTTTACTTCTCCAGTTGTTATGGGACTATATTTAGGACAAGGTCTCTTTCCATTTCCTCAATTTTGCCACTGAGGTTCTCAACTTCTTGATTGTAAATCCAGATAAAAGAAAACATGGCAACTTTGTGATTATGTTCCCCACACCAACAGGGCTGTTTTGTACTTTGTCAGTATGACAGATGCACTTTTTGGTACAGTGCCTTGAGAGGATGTTTCTCTCCCTGAAATGGCTTTGACACTTAACTGAGTTCTGGTCCCTAAAAGTATTGTGAATAACCTTTCTAAGACGTCTTTTAGTGGTCTGGTTATGACAGAACAGTTTTGTTTGGCAGAAAAAGAAAGAAAATGGTCCTCAGCTTGGATTGTGGTATATGTGGTAACGACCTGACCTTGGTCAGCTGTTACATGTAGCTGATGTCCCTGTTGTCATACTTGGCTGATTCAGCCTGTGAATTATAATGACCAAGAAGGATTCATTTTGTCCTCTGGTTATGTCTCGAGATCTAATGCCAAAGCCTGCACCTTTTTAGCCTTAATAGCCCTGACCCTCTTTCCTCCTGTGAAAAATTACAGAGATGGGGGCATGGTTGTAAAATCTGTCAGTCAAACCCCTTGTTTGTTGATTCTCATAAAATCTGTTCACACGGATCAATGTAAGCATGTTATCCATTCATCCGAACATCGATCTTTTACTACTCATTCATAATACTAAGGAAACAATTTTTTCTGATTTTTAATGTATATCATCCCAAAAGTAAATATATATATATATATATATATATATATATATGCAGACAGAGATGAAGTTGATATTACACGTACCCTACATTTCTGAGATCTGCAAAACATCATGCTGCCCCCCCAATATTTGTCAGATTCAAGATCAAATTTGAATGCTAGTTACATTGCAATCTTAATTGTTTTATGTTACATAGGCAAAATTGATATTTATTGCAATACCATGTTGATGTAGAAAGATTACATTTAGAGATTATACTGACTTAAATTTGTCTTAGAATTACTTGCATGTATATTTGAAAATAGGCACAAGACATGGAAGCTTTAAAAATCTGTGACAATTTAAAAATATCTTAACCTAGCTTTTATCTTATTGAAGCACTATCAGTATAAGAATGATTAGATACACCTGGGCACTAGCATGTTTTTAGTTGATTTTCAAAAATGTACAGTTTATGCCTTTGACCTCATGTTGACCTTGTTTTCCCATGATAGTTAGGAGAGACACAAGTCAGGAGAATGATGTTATTATTGGTGGGGAGCTGTTTCGTTACCTTCAAGAGAATCGCGAAAGGTCTCGTCTTAACTGTGAGAAAGTGTTTAAGAGTCTTCTGGATGAGCTGAAAAAACGACTAAATCCTATACCAGTTGACTACACAGAGGAAATGCTGTTAGCAGACATAGAACAACTGAAGATGTCCTACTTGAAGCAAGCTATAGGGCCTGCGAAGTTAGTTGTACTGGACGAGAGTTTCCTGTCCTCAGATATGACTGATTTCCTTCGAATATGCAAGGTCTGTATACGTATTACCTGGAATGCTGCAGACAGCATTAAAATTGTTAAATGAAGAGTTTGATAGAGGGGTTTAATGCTTATAATTATTAATTTATTTGCATTTTGATTAGACCAGACACTGTCATGCACGTACAAAATAATTTCAGACTTATTCTTGATTGAATTTATAAGATATTCAAATTAAGATGTGAAATCTTAGTAAATGTATTGTTTATGGCCTTTAAAAAAGGTAAAAATGAGTGATGTATTTAAAACAAATGACTTTCAAAAAAGGTTCACAAAAGTTTGATCCAAAAATAAGTCACTCTTATTTTTGAGACAATTGAAGAATGGTTAAGTAGTAAAATGTAAACATGGTAAAAAAATTACCAATTTAAAACCCAAAGGATCCAATTCACAAATTATTTTCTCAACAGTTGGTAGATTTTTTCATTTACATGTAGTTTTCCTATATAAAGGTCAAATATATTATACATAATTTAAAATTAACACCTTTTTTGGGCTTCTTTAATGTTTTCTCATACTGCTGGGAACAGACACCTCAATTTATGTCACCTTTACATGTGAAGTGAACTGATGTGTGAACAAGTGGAAGTAAAATTCTTTCTGTTGCAGGCAATCCAAGGATTTCGAATGGAAGTTGTTGAGGCAAAGAGGCAACAAGAAGTTTTAGCTTTACAGAATGCAAAACAGAGGTGCAAGCTCCAAGATATTATAGACGAATCTGCGAGACAAAAGGAGGAGCATTCAAAGGCATTACAGATCATGGCCAAAAACAATCAGAAAAATCTTGAAAAGGTTGGGGACTTTGAATACAGTTTGAATAGACTTTGGGAAAGTTCTCTCACCTTCAGGATGATCTGCATACGTTACCTCATTATCTTATGACTTAAAATATATGTATTTTAGTTAAACTTATGGTTATGTTACTTTTCTCAAATATTTTCATAGATTTGATTTAATATATCTTTGGAACTACTTGGGATAAACATGCAGTCAAACAATACAGATTTTGCTGACAAATAATCTGGTGCATATGAATGGTTGTACATGTACATTTGCCCTTCTTATGTACTAAATAAAATTATGTAAAAACTTTCAATTTTGACAATTGTAGCTACAAAAATCACAGGAAGAGAGCTGGTTGAGACATAAGAAGAAAATGGAAGATCTACCGAAAGCTTATCAACAGCAAATAGCGGAATTATCAGAGGTTTGTCTTAACCTTATTCCACTTCTCTGCAAAAATTCTCTGATTGGTACAAATTAAGGACAACATGAAATCTCATTATGAAAACTTCATAAATGGTAATGATTAAAGAATGGATGGAGTACAAGGGAAGGAACTAAGTTAAATGCAAGGTTAAATGAGCGCTAACCTTTTCTGCAATATTTCTTTTAATACCAATTAAGCCATCTCCATCTTATACAATGAGGAAAATTGCAGATTTGTAACCCACACTTGAGTTAGAATATCCAATTTTAATCATTTTGAGGAGAATTCACCATTCTCTGTATCTATCACAAGAACAACTTAAAATGTATGATAAATATGCCCCCAGCTAGAAAAGTAGTCCCCTTTGCAGTCTGCTTGCAGTCTCCTTTACAGTCCCCCCATGGAGCCTGCTTTGCAGTCTCCCTAGCAGTCCCCGCTCCCATAGCAGCCTCCTTTGCAGGTATCCTTAAGTATGGAGGGAGTCCCCTTGGCAGTCTTAATTTGCATTTTTGGAACGCGCTGCCAGAGGGACTGCCTGGGCAGTCCCCCTAGCAGTCTGCTTTGGCAGCCCCCCTAGCAGTCTGCTTGGCAGTCTCCCTGGCAGTCTTAATTTGCATTTTTGGAACGCGCTGCCAGAGGGACTGCCTGGGCAGTCTCCCTAGCAGTCTGCTTTGGCAGCCCCCCTAGCAGTCTGCTTGGCAGCCCCCCTAGCAGTCTGCTTGGCAGTCCCCCTGGCAGTCTGCTTGGCAGCCCCCCTAGCAGTCTGCTTGGCAGCCCCTCTAGCAGTCTACTCTGCAGTCTCCCTAGGCAACTGGCAAAATAAAATTTGGTAAAATCTTTTTATTTATATATTTTATTTATTTATTTATTTTTTGTATATTCAAACAATAATTACATTTATCAAAAGGAATTTAGAAATAATCTTTCTCCAAAGTATGTGTTTAAGTTCAAATCTAAATACAAAATTTCCCCTTGATCATAAAATGTATGTTATCTGATCCATTTATATCTAACATATTGGTTTATTTCTCTCCATACAATTTACTTCAGTTTACTGCTTTACATATATATATTTTTCTACAAAGCCCATATTAGCAGAGGGCTGGGAATTCTACTGTATGTTATTTAATCATTCCAAAAACTCTATCACAGAATTCACTGACCAGGATTCATATATACAGACACATAACAGCAATATTTCAAGTAATTTTTAAGGTTTTTTCAACTAATGAGGGCAAGTTATACACTAATACAATTTTAAAGTGTACATACCAAAGGAAAAAAGGCTCATTTCATTTAAACTTGGTATTTTTAACACACTGCATGATGATGAAATGTACAGAGATGTTTTAAAAGGTAATTATCCTCATCTGTGAATTATTGTTGATATTCATGCCAAAAACTAAAGAATTTAAAATAAGATTTTTACAAGGACCAAAATGGTTAAATGCAAACCTTTTTCTAGCCTAATAGCAATTCCAAGTACTTTTCAAAACCACAAACAGAATTCAAAGTGCTGGGTTAAAATTGAACACTTTCCAAGGCTCTATGGATCCTGGTGCATCAGTAAACTATACATGTAGGAAAATACAAAACCAAAAAGGCTTGCATGCTCACTTCTTATCCTGTCTCTTTATCTCTTCATTTTTCTTTCTATATTTCCTAAAAATGTCTTCTTTTTCAATCCAGAAATCAATGTTTTCAGATTTCTTGCCTCTTCCTTAGAACATTCCTGACCTATAGCTTCTGGCTTAGATATTTGAATCAGCCCAACGGACTACTGCCTGTTTAAACTGTGCTATGTACTGTCCAGTATAGTAATTTGATCTCATTGAGCAAGCTGTAGGCGGACTGTTTATATCAAACTGACAGTTAAGATAAACATGCCCCTAACTTGAAATGAATTTGGTCTATTGAAAGTTACCAGTTGATTTTAAGTCCAACTTAAATTGATGCTAACTGTGAGGTTTAAAATTTATACATTGTGCAATTGTATATTAAAATAAGACTTCAATCATTTGTCTAATTTCAATGATAATAATAGCAATGATTAAGCATATAATATTTTCACAGCATTATTTAAAAAATATAAATCTGTTCACTCAGTTATTTTTTATAGGTGAAGTAAATGTACTATATATGAGTGTATATATAGCTTGGAGGATTAAAGCCAACAACTGCTTTTAACCCAAACAATTTTAAAGTCATTTTGACAAGCTCTTAATAAAAAGAAAATGTTTTCTTTTAAGCCTGATAACTGATCAAAAGATTAGCATACACGCTTCTCAGTTGCGAATAGAAACACTTTTTAAGTAACTATTGGGTTTTTTATTGCATACGTTGGGCAACGTTAAAAATGTCAGTTATTGCAGCCTCCTTTGCAGTCCCGTGCAAAATATTTAAGTTATTGCAGCCCCCTTTGCAGTCTCCTGCAAAAATGCCTAAGTTATTGCAGCCTCCTTTGCAGTCCCCTGCAAAATGTTGAAGTTATTGAAGCCCCCTTTGCAGTCCCCTGCAAAAATGCCTAAGTTATTGCAGCCTCCTTTGCAGTCCCCTGCAAAAATATTTAAGTTATTGCAGCCCCCTTTGCAGTCTGCCTGCTCAAGGAGACTGCACACTGGAGCCCCAGACTGCAAAAGGACAGTCTCCATGGCAGTCTCTCTGGCAGCCTGGGCTCCTGTGGGCAGCTGGGGCTCCCATTCTAGCTGGGCCAGCTAGTATATAAACTTAAAAAAGGTCCATTAAACTGTAATTCAGTGAACAACCTTGGATATAATAGTGCATTTCAGTGCCAATATTACAGTAATCCTCTTGTTGACAGAGTGGTTTTATTTTGAAATGCATTTTTTAAATGTAGGCTGCCAAAGAAAAAGAAGATAAACTAAGGGAAATGCGTAAGGTACAGTTGGCTAACAACCAGGAAATATTCAAGTCTGCCCTGGATGCTGTCCGAAAGGAAATGGAGGATTTAAAAGCAGAGAAGGCAAAGGAAAAACAGAAATACCAGGCAGAAAATCAACGATTTGAAGAAAAATTTGCTGCTACAGAAGACAAAGCACAACATCAAATGGAAAGTATTAAAGCAGAGACGGAAAAAGCTCAACTGCAGTTCAAGGAAGAAAAACAACAGCTTGAACTGAAAATGGCTGCTGCAAAAGAGGAAACAAAACTTGAAGTGGAAAGTATTAAAGCAGAGAAGGAACAGCTTACACAGACATTGGCTTCTTTACAACAGAAAACTGAAGAGCTAATGAAAAAGATTGAAATGCAAAAATCTCGTAACAAACTGGAATTACAAAAATGGAAAAATCGTTGTTTTTTTCGTAGACTATTTAACTTGCCACCGGAGTAGAAAGAGCAAACTTCTAGTGATGAGGTTGCATGGGCATAAAGATAAATAGACATTAATTTAATGCATGCTCATCACATAATTGTAAAACTTAAATTAACCAGTGTAGTTAATAGTACATCAAAACAGATATTCTTCGACAGAAAGTGGATAAGGATGGTGAGAGAGGATATCTTCCTGGTTTGACATCTTATTGATTTATCATATCACTATGAAGATAGTGAATTTACCTGCATTTTAGTTCTAAAAGGAGATTTGTAAATGACATTCATTGCATTGAACTGGCAAGTTGCATTTTACCACATTTTCAAGGTTTTATCTATATCGTAAGTGACTCGACGTCCACATTATTACAATATACATTTAAAATTTTAAAAAATTACATCAGTTCTTTTAATGCTTCATGTAGTTTTACAGTTTATCAAAAGGTTATATTTTATGCAAAGTCTGTCTGTTTTTTTCTGGACATATATGGCATTTTGAATGTCATGTTATTAACACGTCTACTGTCAGGAAAAAAAACTGCAGTGGCGTATTTAGAGGGGGGGGGCGCAGGGGGGTCCCAATATTCCCCTATTGAACTTACAAGTCTGACTATTTAATCATTGTAATGTTCTTAACTGTGCCAAAGGGCACCATTTGCCCTACAAAACACCAAAAAATTTTGGGGCCCTTGAACACGCTCCAAACCGCACGCCAAGGAGGCTATGGTCAGCTTCACATCCGAAGCCTGTTGTTCTGGACCCCCTTCCCCTTCAAATAATCCTGGATCTGCCCCTAAACTGTATTCCAGTAGATTTACAGTGTACATATTGAATGAATGGACAATATAGGTTATTGACAGAGGAGTTAAATAGCGTTTTTGCTTTGGTTCTGGCTATGTAAACGTATTCTTAGGTTACTTTTGAAATGTTACCGGGCAAATAAAAGGCATTTGAAAATCAAATGTATTGAATATACTTTCAGTGAAATAATTTTTTATGTGATTTTGGGTTAAAGAAATCAGCAAGTTATACTGTTATAGATTTTTCTGTGTTGTTTATACACGCTGACTGTAATAATCCATAATTTTAAGTGATATATACATTAATTATATATATTAATTCATATTAGAAAACAATGACAAGTAAAATGGTAATAACTAAATATATTCAATGGGCAAAAAAGATCAAATTTTGAGATACATAATATTATTATCACAAAATTATATTTGTATATAGCATTTGTGGTGGTTTTACTGCATAGAATAACACTATAGAGAAGCCTGCTTTTTAATTTTGTTGCTACCACTGGAGGAATGTTTAATTTAAAGAAATTATTACTTAAATATACAGTATCTGTAAAATTTAAAATTTCCCCCATTGAAAAGATTGTGTAATTACTGTAAAAGTTTTGGACCTGATCTTTCTATTGAAATTCAAAATACTTATCTAGTTTTAAACACTAAAAACTATAATACTTCATCTCTTGATTTAGAAACCATTTAGTATCCTGGGCCCTCTGTAACCATCTATATTTTCAATTATGATTTTACAGAGAAAGAATTTTGACAAGTTGTTCTGTATAAGATTTTTCTACATGTACTTTAATCACCATTTTATGTGGTGCAATGTATGCACACAAATGTTATGCATCAAAAGAAAGGAAAATTGCTTTAATAACATTCCAGAGCTATAGCATTAAAAGAATATCTCTATATAACATT